GTTTGGGGGTGAGGGGGGCTGTTGGAGAGGAGGCATTACCGATAGACAGCTGGGCTCTCAGCACTTACAGCCCGCAAGCGTGACGACCAACGCGGGTGGACAGCATTGTGTGCGTTTGTGTTCGGTGGGTGAGGCACGGCACCTGTTGTCGGGTTGTTTGTCTCAAAGGAGAGAAAGGAGAAAAACTAGAACGCCTTTCCCTTTTGGAATGGTTGCAGGAACAATTCTTTTGAATCTCAATTGTTTTATACACCACAGCATGTCATGTAATTCAAATAGACCAATAACAAACCAGTTAAATGCATTGACTGGTTGCGTGATATTATATTGCCGAAATGTATGTGTTTGGCGGTTGAGATTTTCATACTTTCAGTTTGAAATAAACTGGGTTGGCTGGAGTTGAGTTTGGGCTGTAATAACTCACTTACTAACTTACTTACTAATACTTTGGTGGAGTTATATTGACACAAAATAGTATTAGTATAGAATGTTAACTTTTAGAAAAATTCTTAAACCTATACAAACCTATTGGGTTTTTATTCTGTGGATCACACAGATTAATATATTTATTATATATAGTTTTGCATGCATTTGTCACAGCGGGATTAATGAATAGTGAGTCTTTATAAAAAATAAGTAATTATTTTCTAGTCCACCGCTATTACCTACTATCACTCAAATCCTACGATGACATATTTGCGATAGGTTGTTTTTGAAGGTGAAAAACATTCCTTTAATCAATTCTCAAAATGTACTTTTTTTATTGCCTAAACATTATCATAATATCACTCGTATCACACAAGGTGTGCAACCACCGCTGAGGTGTTTCACGTTACTGTGTAACCAGAGGAAGTTACCTGTGCTTGAATACTACATACGGGGAAGTAGAAAGCAACACACACACACAGATTTCTCCTGCTGGCTTGTAGATCACACAATGATAACGTGTCTTCAGATCTACGCTTTAGGCTGCTCGCCCACCCACCAATCCCTCGCTGTGCCCCCCAATCACACCGTCACGCGTCATGGAAAAAGGAGCCTTGCCCAGAACGCAAATACGATCCACGTATGACGGTACCGAGTAGTGTGTCATCTTATAGCTTGAGCCTGCACCCAACCCTTTACAAAGAAAACCCATTAAGCAGGGGGCTGCGTGTGGGAGTGCGTTACCTTCTCCTTCGCCACTTTGTGGGAAAAGGGGCAGGTCCCGTCGGCCTGATGGCACGTCCCTCGCAGAAATCTGCACACGATCAACACACAAGGGTCTGAGAACACAGATGCTGATAGACATGCGAGAGTTGCTGGTTCTAGGAAGTAGTTTTGCCCATTTATGTCCCACCGCAGGTGCAGGTCGGGCTATTCCCAATTGAAACTTTTTTTTGTTGCAATAGAATTGAAATCTATTACCAGAGTCTCACAAAATGATTCAGCTTTTTTTCCCCAGATCCGGTGACACTCATCATAAAACCTTCCACTTGACAACTCTCTTGGGCGTCCACGAGTAGGGAAGCCATGAAAAAAACTCTATCTTTAACCTCCCCAACGCGGCCTTCTTGTAATGACCCGGGGGGGTTCCTGTGTGTTTACAGTGCGCTACCTGGTGCAGACGGCGACCTTGTCCGGGTCATGGATGTAGGGACAGCTGTTGCCACGGTTACACTTGCCGAAGCGGTTGTAGTACATGCAGTACTGCTTCTGCTGCTTCTTCTGATGAGCGTGTCGGATTATGGCGAGGCTGCGCTGGACTGCCCGGCTTGTTTCAGAAAACAGACAAACCACAGATATCCACACACGAATAGCAGGCAGCTTGTGGTAACTAAAGAGGAGTAATTCTGTCAGGGTTAAAATTGGGGGTAAAGGCATGTACCATAAGCTAATTTCATTTCCAAAAGATATCTTCTGGGTTTACAGCCCTCGGTTGAGAGTGACGACAGGCAGTTAATGTTGGGAAAGGGAGGGGGGGGGGATCAAATGTGCAAGTGTTGGAAGGATTAGATTTCTCGGTGCTACTGTCGTACGTCCATATGTGGCCCTCACAAAGGTGGAAAAGTAAGTAAAAAGATGTTGGATATGTTTGCAACGAGTCGGGAGGGGAGACAACGCTTACCTGGCTAAATGACGAGGACTGAAGGGCCGGTTGGAAGCAGGACTCAGGGAGGAGACATGGGAGGTGCTGAAAGACTTTCCTAAATATGGAGAATGAGACGAGAAGGACAAATGAGCGATGTCCATTGACATAAAAAGCATCCTGTGGTTGGTTTTCCAATTGCATACGGTCTCCGCAGTAATCCAAGAAGAAGGGGGGAGTGTTAAACTCCGAATCGACTAAGCAAATCCTTTTTTTTTCTTCCAAAATATATTGCTGTGCTTCGAGAAAATGCCCAGATACACTCAACTGTTGAAAAAGCAATGCAAAATCACAAATATTACATCACACATTTCTTTCACTGTCTGGGCACATGATTTATTGCGTCAACAACAGTAAAAGTATAATAAACCACTTCCACTTAACTAACGTGCGTTTTCACGCTTTGCTCATATTACCAGTACCGACACGACAAGATGACCACCTGCATGTCTGTGCAGGTCCTACGTGACATTAACTCCTCCTAAATCACTTATGTTGTGAAATGTTCCCACAATATTTAAAGTAAGTAGTTTGGCATGCCGATGAAGACTGAGATACATTTTGAAAAGAATGTTTTAGAAACAGATTTCAAACTAGAAATATTTCTAGTTTGAAATATAGATCATTTTGAAGAAATGTATTTATCTTGCATTTGCAGATGGTGCCGTCTTTTAAATCTTGCATCTTCAATACAACATTTAAAAAATACTTTTCCCACATGACAGAAGTGAGGCTGTGCCCGAGTGTGTGTTTGTGCAGCCAGATGCAACAACAACCTGATATGTGCCTGGTTATTTATACGACGCTGGTTTGACATATTGGTGCCAAAGCCAAACGTGACGTGCAGCTCTGTCTGAGAACATCATAAACACGGTGTACCCATTGCACTCCAAATACACGCGCACACACACACACACACACACACACACTGTAAAGGTGAGTGTGTGGAGGGTTGTTGGAGGCCAAGCGAGGAAGACAAGAAGGCGAGGAGGCTGCAGTTACAGATGGCAGTTGATCTCATTCCTCTAATTTTGGAACTTTCTTTTGGCTCCCGTCAGAGTGTGCGCTGATGTGATTTTTTAGCAAAGCAGAATTAGCGGCCGGTGGCTGAAGACCAAAACCAAATGTGGAGCTAGAGGGGGGAGGAGGGGGAGTCGTGCTGGAAAGACACCGGGGTGGGACGTGAGTGTGCGCGTTGGGATGCCGGTCACGAGTTTAACAGAATGGAGCTCTTCAATCTCTCCTGCAGGTGTAGTTGCTACTGAACGCGTAGCAGAGAGAAATGGGAAGGAGGCAAAGGCGGATCCGGGCTTTAATCTGCACGGTCCAGTTCTGCAGGCCCCCCCCCACCTCTGCTCTGACAGATGACAACTTTATTATTTCAGATGGCAAATCCAGCCTGCCCCTGTAAGTCTATTAGAGAACATGTGGGCAGAGCTGCAACCACAAACATGAATAAACACTCCTTTATCACCTCAGGGCGTCCAGAGTAGGGCCGGGTATCAAACCTCGGCGCGTTTCAGTCAGCGGACTGAAGTGTGTCTGTAGCATCACAACACTTTAACTGCTGCTATTGAATAACCGGTCGTGTTGGTTCCTTTTTTTCTGCCCCTTATTTGGAAATATATTTTGCCAATGTTTTCTTCAGGCAAAGTCCTTGTACAGAGGATTCAGTGTAGACAACATTTAACAAGAGCGGTGTCTTTTGTTCAACGAAGGATGTAACTCATTGAAAAAAACAAAACAAGAAAACACTTTTGGTGTCTTAGTTGAACAAACATGTAGGTGTGTCTAGATCCCAATGACCCTTGTGATTTGATGTGCTTACAACAAACCATTTAATTTAATTTAATGTATGTATATATATATATATATATATATATATATATATGACCAGGGTTAAAATTCCAAGGCAAGGGAATAAATACACAATGTTGTATATTATGTATCTTTATAATATATCATAAACTACACATCCAGTGTGGTTACATGCATCTGACACTGTTGCGTTTAAAAAATATGAACACATGTAACATAGCAATACAGCACCTTTTAAGATTAGCCAAATATTAGACCACACTGCAGTTTAACCGGCGGTGCCTGTATCAGATGATCGATGTGTTACAAGTGATCCCAACCAGCGAAGGTCTACTGCATGATACACAATCCCACGTGATAGTGCAGCTCAGCCTTTGTGTGTGGGAGGGAATGCAAAGCACTGCTGGATGCGAGGTAACATGAAAAATGTGCCATTAAAGCTAAAGAATTTTAGAAAAAACTCCCCAAAATGTTTTAATAATGATCAGTCCTTTAGCTAAATGTAAATCGCGGGAGGACGCAAACTGTGCGACCTCTGTGCCGTCGAAGGGCCAGACTGTCCGCGGCAGAGTACCTGTTCGGTTGATGGACATGCTGGACGCCGCGGTGCGCGACAGCTTGTTGGCCGACACGCGGTACAGGGAACCCCGGATCCAGCACATGCTGCTTCCTCTCCAGTGCTGCGTGGATGCCGGGTGTCGTTCGTGAGGCGCTCGCATGCGGCTCTGGAGGAAACACCTGAGGGGACGACGGACAGAAGAAGAAGAACGGATGGAGAGCAATGAGCGATGGGAAATAAAAGTTATTTATTCACATAAAGAGGAGCTTTTCACTTGATACATGATTGAATGAAATGAATCATCATTTAAGCTCATTTTACAGACTGTGTGAAATCTTCAGTCATGCCATTTTTTGAGCTGGGACGATACAATCTGCTCATCCCCCCCAGTTCCACCCCTCTTGTCTTCCCCCTCAAGCCCTTCCACTCCATCTCCCCTCCTCACTTTATGTTTCCAATCCTACGGTCTCCCCACCCTTCCTTCCTTCCAGGCCTCTTCCTTTCTCTCTCTCTCTCCCCCCCTCCCATGTCACAGCACTCTGTTAAATTGCCCCTCTAATGGAAAGGACGGCAGTGTGGAAATGGAGAGAATTGAAAAGAGGAGAGGAGGAAATCAATGAGATAATAGGCAGGGCAGGGGGCCAGAGCAGCGAGGTTGGCCCCGACAGTGGCGCGAAGAGACCACACATATACACAAACACAATATCACAACACACTCCTTCCACAGTATGTACTGTACACACAGTCACAGGCCTCCACACACACACACACACACACACACACACTCACCGCTCAGAAGTCATTCAGAAGCACTTGAGGGTGTGTGTGCGTGTGTGTGTTTGTGGGGGCGCTGCCTGCGAGCCCGCATTGTGCGCGGGGCTGCCGGGTGGTGTTGAGGCGGTGCAGGGGTTATGGCGATAAATTGCGCTGTCCTGTCACTTCTATTTGGGGCGGATCGGGGCTGGTGTGCAGGGCGCCGTTGGAGGTAATTTGCTGCCGTATTTCAGATGGGCTGGAAATGGGTTTAGAGCGAGGGTTCATGCCTCCCATTACAGAGAGGAGAGAGGGTTACCCCCGAACGCACGCAGCGCACAGAACAACTGACACGGATGCTTAACGCGCCGCGGCCCGCTGCTGCACCGCTGTGAATGAGAACGAAAGAGGAAAGAAAGGAGAAAAAAAGAAGAAGAAGAAGAACACGAATATCAGCCGTCGGCTGCGTTCATGGACCCCGTCCACGTGACCGCGCGCCATAACTCAGCCACACAGACACTCAGTTTCACTGATACGAAGATCAGTGGCTGCCCCACACAGGGCAACTGCAGCCAGGGGAGCGGTAATGGAGGCTAATGCCGAAGCGCTGACTGCCACCCAGGGAGGCTTAAACAAGGACCGGGCGGCCTGGGGAGCCACAATGGAGGCTAATGGGGATATGACATGATCAGTTAACACAGACGGTAGTTAACCCTGACACAAGGCCGTAGTCGGGGGTGGGGCGGGGGGCTGCCGGTGACCGGGTTGGGCTTTGAGAGGCGGCTGGAGAAAAACCACATCAAACGGCATCAGTTGTATAAACTGCACGGTTGGAGTTGTGTATTTGTATTTGGCAATCTGACCCGGCCGCTCAAAGAACCCGAGTCGTTTAGTATTTTGTGCTTGGACGGAGATCTCAGACTCACGGCTAGAGTACCTCTGCGATGAGTTAATCGGCCTGCAATGCGAGTGGGGGAGAGAAAGGAAGCACAGAGAGGAAACAGCGCACAATCACAGCATCTGAACAGTAAGAAGCCCTTTTAAAACGTATATCAGGCGGCTTTTATTCTCTCCGTCTCCAGACTCTCCTTAGAACGTTCCCAGCGATGCCCTTGACCTTCGGGAAGGATATCTGTTATCAGAGGCGCTGCAGACACATCTGATGCACAAATCCCCCCCAAGCTGGACCACCGTGGGAGGGTTAACGTTGAACGCACGCTGAACGTTACTGACTTCCGTTCCGCTACAAGGCCTGGGGGACTCCTCCATACCGTCATTAAACAAACTATTCATATTCGTGCTAATCACTTGTTTTGGCTTCTTATATAGCAGTTTGGTGTATTAAATGGCACTAAAAGAAAAAGGAGTCAAAACGCAAATATATTCAAATTGCAATGAAACACGAGCGAGTAAATGTTTCGGCAATTTCTAACAATCTCTGTACTTTACCTCCATTGAGGCGCATAAAAAAGATGATCAGAGGACGCAGGGACAGAACATTGACTCACCAAGGAGAAAAAAAAAAGGTGAAACGGAAGAAACGAAGGTCCGGGCAAGGGCGTGCACAAAGCCCCCTGTGACTAGTGGGCGTGGGTGTGTACGTGCGTGCGTCGGCGCGCAGGTGTGAGTCTGACCACGCGGCGCACGGAGGAAGAGGAGAGCCGCGATTCAGCACTACGGGCGCCGCTGATGAACGACCCGACTTTTGTTTTAGTGACAGCGAAGAATCCGGAGGGTCGCGCGACTGCCCCGAATAATGCTGCCCTTGTCCATTTGTCTGCAACCCCAGCATTAGTAGGCTCATATTGGGAAACTGCTCCGCTTGAAACAGAGCACAGCAGAAACATGATTAAGAAGCCTCGCAGAGAGTCGGCATGCGGGGCGCACGGTGCGAGCATCACAACGCGCGGCCGGCAGATGACTGATGTGATAAGTAATGAGCTGATGAATGAATTGGGGGCATTAAAACAGCGGGATGAATGGGGGGAACGAGAGCGGGAAAAGCAGGAGAGAAGGGAAGAAGAGGGAGCGCCGCTTCACTTTATTGCCCAGTCTCTTACATCCTGTACTGATCGATAGCGAAGCACTAAAGGAGATGAGCGAGTGTGCGTGCAGTGTACTTATTTGGTTGTGGAGGGTCCCGCTGCGTTTGGGGCGATTTAACTTGTGACGGAAGTAAGTTTGAATAAGATGAAGGCAAGAAGACGCACCGTGCAGTGTAGGAAGCCAGTGTTTTCCATGAAACGGGAGGACAGACCACAAAGAACAGCAACAACGCAAACACATGACGACAGCTGAGAGAAAAACAGGGAGGATGTGAGAGCAATGAAGTGGGGGGGGCTGTAACTTATCCTCCAGTGTGCATGCTTTACGGCTTTCTTAATTCAACTCCTGCTACTATTAATGGAGTTAATGTTCAGATTATATCTATTTTCTGATGGCAGGGGTTGAAATACCGCTGTCGATTTCCCTCGCTCCTCCAAACTGCCGCGCGGCACTAAATCACCCGCCGCGCTCGTTATGGCTGAAAACAGGTAAGAGAGGAGCATGCTGGGAGCGGCACGCGTCTGCCTGGCTGGGAGGGTGAATGTACCACTGATGCCATTTCCTTCTGATCGCCGTCTTTAAATCCGGGCTTTCAAACGTTCTTGGATACCAAATACAGATGTTTCATTAAATTGATTTAACACAGTTTATTGTGTTTGACTTAAATGGACCCATTATGCACACTGTAGACATATTGTGCATGTATTTATTAAATATAAATAAATAGATTTGTAAATATAAAAATGTGATTAATGCTTTTAATGCGGGGCCCTGAGTGAGGGGCCCCAGCTATGAGCAGGCACAGAGACAAGAGCAGACGACACATGAGGACAGGGATCAGTGGGTCCCAGAGGCCAAAGATGGAGAACGGCACTCAGTAGTTAAGAGCAGAGAATATGAGCTCATGTTCCACTCAATGGCTTCAAACTGATAAAAGTGGAGGGTCTTTGGAGTTAAACAGATAAGGGAGTCCAGGGTCTGTGTGTGTGTGTGTGAGAGTGTGTGTGAGTGTGTCGGGGAAGGGGGTAATCCACTATCCCCGGGGACCCGACCTGTCCCCCTCCTTCCTTATCTCTTTCCTCACTTCCACACACTTGGTGATATTTCACAAGATGTCACAGGGCTCAAATTGAAAATCCCTTGATGAATCAATATTTACTGCGGCAGCTAAATGAGTAGTAATAAGTCACCAGCGACGGAGTTCAGCCTGGGCCCCTCTGTCCCACCAAATCTGGATTACACAAATGAGCAAACACACACACACACACACACACACACACACGCAAATAAGCACATTAAAGGCTTTTATGATAAATAACTATCTGAACATTCCAATTTGATGTAACTTCAACAATAGCTTCAGAAAAGTGAGCTCAGCGGAGCAGATTTAATCATTTGCATATGCTCTGATTTTGTGAGATTAAAGTGTGGAAGTTAGCTTGTTGTGCTCAAAACAGGGCTGAGAACTTCTTGGGAAATCAGGATTAGAATTTATTCTGAACTCTGGACTGGAATATAGGCCAGAACTCTGGACTCCCGGCGGCTTTCAACAGTGTGTGTGTGTGTGTGTGTGTGTGTGTGTGTGTGTGTGTGTGTGTGTGTGTGTGTGTGCGCAGGCAAGCCATACCACAGTCACCTTCCAGGAGGAGCATCCTGTTAATTCTTTACACATTAACAGATCATCAAACCACAACAACCTGTTTACAGCTTTCAGAGCACAGTTCCGCCCGTTTGCAACCACCGTGGAAGAGAAGAAGGTCCACACCTCGGGGTTCAGAAACCTCACTGTAGCAGTTCTTTCCTAATAGTGATAAAGCCACAAATGAGGCCGCAGCTGAACGTTTGTCACCTGGTAAAGACCTCCTCACGCATTCATTTACTCTCACATGTCGATGAACTCAACACCACAACTATCCATCTCACATCCAAGGCTGCAGATTCAAACACCTACACACTGGTGCTGATGGGACTTGTAGACTTATTTATAAAAAAAGAAAAAAAAATATATATATATAGAGAGAGAGATATTGATTGAATTGGTATATAACTGTAATTAGATTTTTGACAATTTGTCAGACAAAACCAGCAGTGTCTCTTTGCGTTTTTTGGTTACTCTGACGGGCATTTTCCAATAAAAATAAAAACAAGGATGGACCAGTGATGACAAGTAATCCTTAGCTGCAGTCTTACTTCAGACTTTATCCACTGTTGAAGCCAGAGACGATGGTGGATAAAACCTCGGTGAGAATGATTGAGGATTGAAACTGAGGAGATGAAAGTTAGATAAATGAAGAAAGGGGGTGGGAGGGGGGGGGCAGAGAGTTGTAATGCCATTAAGAAGCAGCGCTTTCTGTATCTGTCCTCGGTGACACACTTTCCCTGCTGGTGTAAATTAATGTGAGGAGCACGCTGGTGTAAATGCTTTATTCTCTGGGTTATCTACTGCGTAAAAATGAGCGCCATAAATCCCCGACCTCTTCCACTCATGCTGCACATGACAGTGACATTAAAGACGGGGCGCTGCCGCGCCCTGAGGGATATTAGCCATAGAGACACATTAAAGGCGGGCCTGCAGGAGGTGCGTGTGTGCGTGCGTGTGTGTGTGCTCGAGTGTGTTTGTCTCTGTTAATGTGGATTACCTGGCGGACTGGATCCTCTTGGCCCTCCAAGAGAGGGCGGGGTTGTAGGGGAAGGTGTGTGCGGCGCTGGAGCCCGGGCGGGTCACCATCTTGTAGCGTGTCCTGTACACCCGCTGAGAGGCGGGGCTACGGTGGGACGAGGAGGCGGGACCTGGGGACGGCAAAGCATGGATCAGTATACCAGAATATCAGAAATGCACAGAATACACATCGTCGTGAGCGCATCAAACTGTGCAGACACGTGCAAGTTAGTCTGAGGACTCTGGCAGGTGTGCTCTTTAACAAGCTTCACATGAAAAAATGAGGGAATAACAAAAGGCAGAATTAATCGGAGTCTTTAAATCACAGCCTCTGTCTCTTTCCTCGCCGGCTTCATCCCTCCTGCCTGGCCTCCCCCCCTTCCTCCCTCCTCCTCACTTTAAGTCGCATTCCTTCTGTCATTTTACAGATCCATCAGAGGAGAGGCACAAGAGGACAGAGCGGAGTAGGAAAAAAATACTTTTTATTCATTTATTTCTTTGGCTGTGTATCCATCATGTTGTTTTATGACGGCTGACGTACTCGCGCGGGAGAACAGAATTTGCATTGCGGGCTGTCTTTTGTTTTTTCTTTCTCCACTCAGTTTGAACACTCCATGGGCAGAGAGCCTGTCTACTGAGGTCAGAAATGTGGGATCCACATTGCCTGTATGTGGTGAATGTGAGAGTAAATGGTTCTTAGTCTCTATGTCAGCCCTGCGATCTACTGGCCCTTGGCCCGAGGTGGATCCCTATCTCCCGCCCAATGTGAGCTGGGATCGACTCCAGACCCCCGAGCCTCTCTAAGTAACTGACCACCCGCCACCCCACCCTAAGGAGAACCTCTTGTGTGTCATTATCCGCACTTTGTCTTCCCCCCCTCTACCAATCATTCCCTGCCGCGGTCAGTGACGGCACTCTGTCTTCCTAATGAGCAGGGAAAAGACAGAGTGAAGGGAAGTGTGAAAGAGGGATAAAGAATGAGTTTATGCACCCGATGAGGAGCTCATTTGCCGTCACCTCTTTCACAAGTCTTTAATTGCCAATTGCCAAGATTGTCGCCATTTTAATTAGCATCCAATAACAAACCGTGGCGACGAGGGCGGCAGTGACAAACAATAAAATGATTCGATTTCTGCTTCTACTCATGCCAGCTTCTCTCCGAGCTCCCAATTTGCTGCGCCCCCCCCCCCCACACACACACACTCACGCACTTCTTCCCCCCAGGCGCCACTTTCATTTGTCAGCCGGGATGCAGCTCTGGATCAGCTGGAGAATTCATCTCAGACAAACATTTACTGTTGAACAAATCACTGGGATCCGAGGGGGGGCCGGGGGAACACTGGCTGTATGTTAAGGACACGCACGTGCACAGAAACAGGGCAACAAACAATCCCATGCGTTACCAGCAAACACCTCGGTTATCTGCACCTATTTTCAAGAGAACACTAAATGAAACGCTAAATGTTACATAACTAAACGTATTCTAAACTAGTGCAGATTTTTAATTGTGCACAATTGTGCTGGTTTCCTTTGTGGTAAGGTGCTATTACCAACTAAGAGTGCCAATTTCAGATAACTGTTTTTATTGACCAATAACCGACCGTTAACAGGTCAGTGGTGGAAGCGCCTAACAACCAATGCAACGGGTTAAATCCATCAATGATCACCATCTGCAGTGCAGAACACCCAACCAGGTCCTTAATCCAACTCAGGTGCCGAAGTGCCAAAAAGTGCTCTTGCGACTTAATTCAAAAGAAAGTGTTCAAAGTGCCGGCGTTAACAGCAGGACGTTTTCCATTTAATCAGCCTAAATGGTTACAAGCTCGCTTAAAACCAGACGATCGCTCCTCGTTTACGATCCTGACAAACAATCGGTGGGCCGGGGGCTCATTTAGCACCATCGGTGAGCGTCTGTCGGCCAGGGTTTTGCAGTGTGTGTCTCCCTGTTAGCGATGGTTGGCCCACAGCTTTTTCGGAGAATCGGTACGCAGGAAGAGAAACGTGAGGACAGCAATCAAACATGACCTAAGTCAAGATGGCACGTGCAGAGTAGTTATCAATACTGTGTGACTGATTACAACCATAGCACTAGTTCGCTAGTGGGTTAAAGGGGTGTCGGGTTCTGAAAGATAAACCTACTCAGAAAAGAGAGAGGCAGCACATGAGAGTACGTGTGTGGAGGTGGGGAGCTTTGTACAGGATTAGTTGCACGGCTTGGAGTCACTTTTCTTTCCCCATAATCCATCTGTATTGGAGTCAGAGCTATTTGGGCTTCCTGGCAGATGACGAATAGGGGTTGTCAAAGGGGCTGCTACGATTCCCACCCAGCAGCCACAACGCCCCCTGCACCCGCCCACCCCACCAGCCGCCACCTGCACCTCAATCGGCCACTAAAGTCCCGGCCAAACATCGGGACTCCGGCAATGTCCATGGCGCTGTCACACAGCTGTTCCACCTCGGCCGCTGTTTAATGACATCTATAGCGAGCTGTACCGTACGCCGTGTTTCCCGCACTGTGTGTGTGTGACAGCAGGGATGGATGGACGGTGTTGCTCTGATTGTAAACCACTGCAGGTTGTGTTGGTTGAGTGGCTCCGGGAGCAATGGGGTCTCAATCTTCCACTGTTGGACTATGACCAATGGGCATGTGAAAACACGCACTTGCACACAAACCTCCCCCCAACACACACACACACACACACACACACACACACACCTGGGGATCTCAATCTTGCCTTAATAGACCTCTGACAGTGGCCTGTCTTGCGGCGCGGGGGGGGGAGCGAGCCCAGTGGCGAGTTGTGAAGACGCATGAGGCTTGATCGCCGTCCATCCATCTCTGGGCGACTCGCCGCCGTGAACCCACGGATGATCTACTGGAGTCGTCGCACACATCGCTCCTTCTAAGAGCAGCCGTGCCTCCAGCCGCATCAAGCGGTCTGTCCAATGCATTTTATCCATCAAGGCGAACAGGTTGCCCCGTGCATTGCTTTCAGTTTTGAGGTATCAGTGTCAGAGATTAGTGCCTCCGGTACACCGGGGGAGAGTGGAATTAGTTAGTTAGTGGATGTGCGGCTCCACGCGGTACGATCAGTATTACTGCTGATGGAGCAAACAGGGTATGAGCCACTTGTCAGATTCTTTAAGGGCTGCGAATACGGTTGGGCAAGGTATTGAAGAATGTCAACATTTTCACAAGGAGACTTGGAATCGGATTTTGTAATATTGCTTCATCTGGGTTTAAAGGCATCACCACATAATATGATGTAATTTAATCAATTTCTATTATTTGCCTTTTTCTACTTGGTTATTGTATCTACAAAACACATTGCTTTAAAAAAAAGTAATTACTGTATATATATATATATAATAAATATTGCGTGAAAGAGCCAGTCCTTAACCCTACAATATTATATAGCAATATCATTATTAAAGCATTTGGTCAAGAATATTATGATGTTCCCTACATTGCCACGCCCTTACTTGGTCTAACCGTTATATAGATTTATTAAGAGTAAATATTTAATTTGTCATACATTTTGGGTGTAAAGTCTCTTTGTCTCCTGCTCTTTTTTGCTTTGGTTCCCATTCTCTTCTATCTTTAAAAAGTTGAAGCAGAATTCTGATAAAAATCCAACAATTTGTTAGAAACCACTCAGTATCATTATGAGCCAGTCCTTCAAAATAAAAGCTTACTCCATTTATTTATCCTCTCTATGATATTTAACACGTCTGATCCTCCTACTGAGGAATCCACTCAAAGCCCGCGACAAACCCCTGACGCAGACGCTGCTTTATCGCCGTAAAGCGGCAGACGTCACATAAGGGGATCGGGGGCCGTGCTGAACTCGAGTCACATCCCTAAGATGACAAAGACTCACATTAAGTGGCGCGGTCTTGACTGTGAGTAAAGTTGGATTCCACTTCAGCGCTTTCATACCTCCGCCGCTCTCTCCATCCTCAGCCCTCTGACTGAGGCTACCGACAGCCTTCTGCGCACAGCCCCCCCGGCCCCCCTCCATACCTGACGGCTAATTCCGGGGAACAGCGGTCTCTGTCTGCCTCCTCCCTGGGACGACCCAATGTATAATAAATCTTATTATTGACAGCACTTGTTCCCCCTGCCAGCCCATGTCCCCGTCCCCTGGGGCTCATCTTCTGACTCCCACTGCTCCAGCGCTCTGGCGCTAGACAGCGGCACCACGCTAACATCTGGCTTAACAAGGGAGTTACCACAATCTCATAACCCGCGGTAAGCCAGAGCGGTTATGATAATATGATGTATTTGACACCCACTTTATGAAAAACTCCCCCGAGACGTCTGCAGAGGTTGATGCCCCACTCGTTCCGTGGGCTCTGAAATAAATGCATCATAGGATCTCAAGTAGCCCCGACTAGAATGGGAGCTGCGCGGTCGCATGTGAACAAGTTTTGTTGTAGGAACCTTTAGGACAGAGGAGATCATAAAAGGCTCGTACGCTTTCCATACTGCTCCTCAATGCCATACACATGGGGATGCACAAGGTTACTGCTGCAAAAACACATACATTTATATGGTCTGTTTTTGGCAGATAAAGTGGTTTTGGATTGGTTTGTGTTGGACATTTGGCAAAAAAGAAACTGCAGTACAAAAAGATAAAAGCTATGTATAGGGAATTAGACACAGATTATTATTCTATCATTATTACAAAGGGTAACCAGCAGGGAGACCAGTTTATAGTTTAATATTGAATGTCCCGCTCAATACCTGAATATTTATAATATTAGATCTTCTATAATATCTTAAGCCCCTAACACCCACTGACATGTGGCTTTTATCTGGTGGTAAAGGTCACGATCGGCATCCATTCCCTGGACAAATGGCTCTGCAGTCGTCTCGGGGTCATTATCAGCTGCAGCCCCAAACGGCAAGCGATGGAAACATGACACCGCCATCTTTTTCTGCTAACTCAAAGTTACGTCGAAGGTACAGTACAACAATCTGTCACGAACTACTGCATATGATCTTCATTCATTCCCGCGGACTAAAAACAGAACGGCCTTCAGAGAAGTGGTCTCACTGTAAGTGTGACGACAGACATGTGGCTCGACATTAATCAATAGCACTTCAGCTCCGTACAGTGGCGAGACC